AAGTTTAATTGACTACTGTATGTGGATTATTACAGTACCTTTCCTTTGAAAAATCTCTTGGTGTCATTCTTTATGTACAGTATATACTGTATACTGCATATTTGCTTATCCAAAGTTATTCATAAAGCTTTTATAGCTTATACTGTATATATATTTTTCTCCACCACGTATTTAATAGAGCATTAAAAGTATCCTTTGTATCCTAAACTGCTTGAATATTTTTTAGGGAATCATCAGTTGTTGATGTATGAGAGAGTCACCAATGTTATTGTCTGTCCTATAGATCCAGAAGAGAGTGAGCCAACAAGCAATCGTAAGTAACAGTGCCCCTGCCACAATGTGATTGTCTATATTATTATATTAAAAACATTTTATTTGCCCTCACGTACAAGCGTTGCTCTTATTTCAGGTACTACACAATCAAAAGCCTTCAATGTAGGGTTACAAAGACACTTAATATGTTTCAAACATCTGCTAGTTTCCATTTTATCTAAATAAATCATATAAAGCATTTGACATCCCCAATGTAAATAATTAATCTGTTTTATATTGAACTTATGATAATGTTTGTTGAGTTTGTTGAGTTGAGTTTTAATAGTACTGTATGTCAAACAATGTTCTGGTAACAAATAGGATTGATCAGATATTATTTGAATACTCCAAATCGATTTGACTTATTGGTCTAATTAATGATTGATTTATTTGATCTATGTGATGCCCCAAATCTATTTGAATATTCAAACAATCCTTCTAGCTTCTAAAAAGGTATTATTTGTCCTCTTCAAGAACAGGCTGAATCGGGGTCAGATGATGACAAGAAACGGACAATGAGTAAATGAGGAATAGTTAGGATACTGATGTAACAGTATTTGCCTCTACATCAGTATTACCATTTTACCTACAGTATATACTCCATGGTATTATCAAGGCATTTCTAGAGGAGAATGCATACTGGGTGGAACACCACATTGAAATAGAAGGAAAATACATTATTTCAGAGTTGGACACTGATTAGATAATTCAGCATATGTTGTGCTTTAGTGAAAGAATCAGTAATGATATTATCTTTTCTGCAGGTCTAGGGGAGTTTGGGTTGCCCACAGTTTCTTGTGAGTAACAGTGTCTAATTTCTTTAATTGTTTAATATATGTAAGAACATACATACAACAAAACATAGAACACACAAGTTACTAGATTTATAGTATGTACAGGCAAGGCGTTTCAGAGGCCTAACGTCGTAATCACCCAGAAAACCTCAGACTGCT